GTTTTGCGTGGGTGATTAAATAATACGGAGTCTTTGGAAAAGCTTGACGCTACTCTGGTTCATTTGCCACCCTCACAGTCTGTAGAACTGATTTCTTTGTTACGGCGTTTTCCAGAACTGTTTGGAGACACGCCAACGCGAACCGACTGGGCTGAACATGATATTGATGTGGGTAATGCTTCTCCTATCAAACAACGTTATTATCGAGTGTCACCAGAGAAACGGAAGCTGATGGAAGCAGAAATCAAATATATGCTGGAAAATGAGATAGCGATTCCTTCGAATTCAGACTGGGCATCTCCTTGCCTGTTGGTTGCAAAATCTGATGGTTCGGTAAAGTTTTGTACAGACTTCCGTAAACTTAACAGTGTGACAAAGCCTGATTGTTTCCCACTTCCGCGAGTGGATGATTGTGTTGACCAGGTTGGTTCTGCCAAATTTGTAACCAAGCTTGACCTGCTGAGGGGGTATTGGCAGGTGCCTTTGAGTCAAAGAGCTCAAGAAATCTCCTCATTTGTTATTCCATCAGGCCTCTATTCGTACAGGGTTATGAGTTTTGGGCTGAGAAATGCACCTGCCACCTTTCAGCGGCTGATGAACCGAGTAGTTTCAGGCCTTGAGGGGTGTGCGGTGTATTTAGATGACCTTGTAGTGTTCAGTGATAGTCGGGATTCACACTTAAAACGCTTGTGTGCTGTCTTGAGGCGTTTGTCAGAGGACAAATTGACTGTGAACCTGGCAAAATGTAGTTTTGCTCAGGCTACCATAACTTACCTTGGAAAAGTGGTGGGGAACGGAGAGGTATGGCCATTAAGTGCTAAAGTTCAGGCTATTTGTGACTTTCCTGTTCCTATAACAAAAAAGGAGCTTATGCGTTTTTTAGGATTGGTAGGTTACTACCGTTCCTTCTGCCGTAATTTCTCTTCAGTTGTCGCACCACTTACTGACCCTTTTAAAGGCCAAGGCAAAATTAGTTTGGTCATCAAATTGTGCACTGGCTTTTAAAAATGTCAAATCTATATTGTGTTCTTCTGCTGTCCTTGCTGCCCCTTGTTTTGAGAGGCCTTTTTCGTTACAGGTGGATGCGAGTCAAGTTGGTGCAGGGGCTGTCCTCCAACAGGACGATGAGGAAGGCGTGGTCCATCCTGTCAGTTTCTTCTCCAGCAAGTTTAATTCGTATCAACTGAATTATTCTGTGGTAGAAAAGGAAGCTTTGGCTTTGATTTGAGCATTACAACATTTTGATATTTATGTTGGTTTGGGTCAACCAGTTGTTGTCTACACGGACCACAACCCGTTGACGTTTCTGAATTCTTTTCATTGCCCGAATCAAAGGCTCATCCACTGGTCTTTTGTTTTTACAGGCTTACTCCCTCGATATTTGACACGCCAGAGGATCTGAAAATATTGTCGCTGATGCACTGATGCATTGCTCCTCTGGGTAATTGAAGTGATGTGAAATATTTTACAAATTTTTTGTTTTGTATATTACAGGGATTCTTGACAGACCCCCGTCTTAAGGGGTGGAGTGTGACGACCCATGCGTTATGTGCGTCATCTCTGGGTTGAATTGTGGTATTGCTCCACTTTCCCACTGATTGTTCTCTGATAGGTTCATCGAGGACACCTGCTGTTGGTTTCCTGTCTTGCCTTTTAAAAGGCAGTATGACAACTGGCCAGAGGCGAGCTGCATTTTGGACTTGGTTTCGTTTGGTTTCTGTTTAACCTTGTTTACTTTTTACATCCAACATTACTACAGACCATTACACTTTCATGCATTCACTTAACTTTACACCACTGATTCCTGACTTATTCATGTTACATTGTTTCTTTCTGTATAGTTCTATTTTGTTAATACATTTTGTATATTATTCGCACTTTCTTGTGTGTCCCCGTTTTTGTTACGTCCTTTTCGAGCCATGGGGCGTAACAGGGTTAAATGCTTACGGACATTTTGCTCTGTTTTGTTTGGGTTTAGGAAATGGAATAAAATAAATTCCATTGCCCATCCTCTCAGGATACCTGGAATCAGTGTTACAAATACCCCAGGCACATTGTTTTCCCATTTTTGTAGCATAAACACCATCAAACCGATGCGAGCTTCTGCATTCGAGGGGAGGGGCTTACAGATAGGTCAATTGTACCAAACATCTATAATAAAACATCAAGGCTAAATTCAATTCTGATTTACAGTCAAGAGTTTCTGCCAGGTGGACTTTGGAGGGAACCAAGAATATTCATAGAAACCACACCATATCTGTATAAGGAATGTGCAAAATGCAGCAGCGCTAGAAAAGTCTGTGTGTGACTGTGAACAGAGAAAAGCTGATTTTCTGTTCTTGCACTTACATGATAATGAATTACACTAGTTACACAGTAAGCAATATGGTAGCATTTTGTGGTTCAATTTTAGAGTGACGTAGCCTGGTGAACGAGAAAAAGTCCTGAAGCTTTTGTCTGTTGTATGTGCCAAAAAGCCAAATGCAGCAAAATTACTAACAAATGCTGATCAGACTTCGTTAAAGAGATTATTCCCAGTTCCAATTTATTGTTTGTCATTACTTTAGTTACCTGAACTCTATAAATGATTACATGAAACATAAAATGTTTTATACAAGGTTTAAAGTGCCCCTATTATGCCATTTCCATTATTGCCTTTCATGCAGTGTGTAATGTATCTGTATGTGAATGTAAACGATCTGCAAAGTTGTAAAGCTGAAAGTGCACGATAAATAAAGTTAATGTCTCCCAAAATAATCGACTCTGTACAGCTGAAATGAGTCGTTAGTAATTCGAATACCATTTTCCTGATGGCAACACGTCACGGGGTAACACATTTGCATAATGCGCGCCTATGTTCTACGTTGGCCGGCCGCGAACAACTTGACCCCGCCCACAAACACGTCATTCTACTGACGACTGCTTCTCTAATCTCGGGGAGTTCAACGCGGGATTCACAAAACGCTTGCTGTTGAAAGATGGATCAGTATCCTGTTTATTTGGACCAGCTGATCCACTGAATCACAACCTGTAAATAGGATAAATAATAGATAATAATTTTCTATAGAGCGTTCAAAATACGTCAAAATGCGCCGTAGACCAATCACAACAGACTAGGCCATCTGACCAATCAGAGCAGAGCAGGCTCACGGAAAGGAGGGGTTTAGAGAGACTGAATCTTAGAACTGCTTCAAACGAATCGTTTGACAATCGCTGGAAAATAAGGTGATATTAAATGCATATTTTGAGAAAACGAAAGCGTTTTTTGACCTTGCATGCATGTAATCCTATTGTAGGAGACTCCCAAAACAATATTAGGAACAGTAAAAATGGCATAATAGGGGCACTTTAATGACTGAATCAACCAGACTACACCAACTACAGTCATTTTTAGTCTCTTTAATGTAATAACTGCATATTTTCACCTCTGCATTTAGTCAGAACCAAATGTTTTAGTATCAACAGCACAGATAATGAACAACAGATTCGTATTTCCATCGTTTCATTATCACAAACATGAAAGATATCTGCTCTTTAATCACAAATCAATTTATAATACATGACAATATACACTACCGTTCAAAAGTTTGGGGTCAGTAAGATTTTTTTTTTTTAAAAGAAAGATACTTTTATTCAGCAAGAATCTATTAAATCGATTAAAAGTGACAGTACAGACATTTATAATGTTACAAAAGATTTCTATTTCAAATAAATGCTGCTCTTTTGAACGTTCTATTCATCAAATAATCCTTAAAAAAATGCACCACAGTATGAAGCAGCATAACTTTTTTAAACATTGATAATGAATGAAGGATCATATCATGTGACACTGAAGACTGGAGTAATGATGCTGAAAATGAAGCTTTGATCACAGGAATAAATTACATTTTACAATATATTACAATAGAAAACCGCAAATTTAAATTGCAATAATATTTCGCAAAACTGTTTTTACTGTATTTATTGAACAAATAAATGCAGCCTTGGTGAGCATAAGAGACTTCCTTTGAAATAATAAAAAAAAAGTACTAACCTCAAACCTTTAAACAGTAGTTTCTTTGTTGCTAATAGTTATAGGAATCAAATTCTTTCAGCTGTATAATTAAGTTTAATTTAATTCAAAGATGTATAATTAATTCCCTTATTCACTGCATTAGAGGTGATATCAGATACCACAGCTTCGAATTTTCTCTCGTGACATGCGATCGTGGTGGTGCTGTGTTACGCGTGTGAAAGTACAGTGTATCACCTTAAACTTGTAGTGTGAAAGAAACCGTGAAAACTGTTATCAGCGGCAAATCTAAAAGGTGCTTTTGTGAAATACAAAATATTTGAAGAGACAAAAATAGATCTTTTTGCTGAGTAGAGTAATTCTAAGCAAAGTTCCATCACAGCAAAGATCGTTTTGTGTATTATTTTGTCTTCAAAGCTGACCCTTTTTTAACCTGCTGGCTACTTTTGGACTTATTCCATGGGGTGGACATGGACAGCGATGGGCTCTTAGCTCCCTCCTCTGGACATCATCGCAAACCAAACCTTTATTTTCCAGGGTCTTTTCAGTTTAAGATCATGGCTTCCCCAGTGATCTGATGTCAAACAGGAAGACCAGGCAGAATCACAATCAGTGAGAAAGGTTGCTAAACCAACAGCCTTAATTTCAGGCATTATGTATCACTGGGGAAAACCAGATGTAGGGAAGCAAAAGTTGTGACATTTCACTGTTTAGAGAAATGAAAAATCTGTTATGAAAAGAGCCTCAGAGAAACAAAAAGCATTTTCAAAGATCCCCGCCGTCGAACGTTTACTCTAAAGGACACCACACATAAGGGGATTCTTGTGTGTGACTAACTAGAGCTAGAAAACTGCATCATGCTGATTCATTCTGTACTGACCACTTGTAGCCAAAAAATCATTATATTTCATTTAAGGGCATGTGTGTCGGACGTTCTCCTTTTGTGTTCCACATAAGAAAATAGTCACATGACGACATGTATACTCACGAGATTTCTGGACTGGGCTCCGTAGGTGCAGTCTGCCAGACGAATAGTAGAGGAATATCAGCACCATGATGGGACAAATTAAAAACACGAAGCTACGTGTGGACTTCATCCTGATCATCTCACACGAGGCTTCATCCGGTCTGAGTCACCTGAAAACACACAACACACTGATCAATCACGGCATGCTTTCGCAAGACAAACGGCAACTTCATAAACTGATGTTTGGTCTTTCAATTCATGACAGTTTAAAACCTAAACTGGTATTTATTTCAATGGCTTAAAAATGTTAGGTAACACGATTGATGAGTTCAACATGGGTCAGGAACAACAGAGATGTGTTACTTTTATGCGGATGCGTTCAGAACATGCAGTAACCGGCTCCACCAAACCACCCTAGTTACTACAGTTAGAAATTACTCTTGACCCTTTAAAATGATTTTGTTGATGTAAGCAAACATTCTGGAAGCGGTTTATAAGCTGGTGACATGCAACTGTTTCTTTAAGGAGTTATTTCTACCTGATTTAACCACGTGGTCTGTCATATTAATAAAATAAAACCAGTTCATTCAGATGCTTTGTTGTATAATCTAAAAATAGGCTTCATGTGGCAAAATTTCAACGGTTTACGCCATCGAAACAAGCTTCCTCATTATTATTACGAACCAACTATTACATTTTAGTGTGAACCGCAGATATCATGATATAATTTTTGTTAGCGTGAACATTAATATAACATATAATATAAACAAACAATACATATTATTAATATAATGTTATAAAAACAACAGGGTCTCTTTAATACCATAGCTCTCAATAGGATAAAACACCATTTTGGCTATTTTTTTTTTATTGACTACTCTTATTAAAAAAGTACCATAGCAATACCATGGTACAGTAATTATATGGTATCAGATAACAGCCTCCCTAGTTTGAAAAAAAGAAAAAAATCCTAGAGGAACTTCTATCGTAATTCAGAACCAATCCTATGTGCATGCTACATTCTAGATGTATTCAATTATATAATATATTATATAATAAATATAATAATAATATAATTAAAATAAAATATTCTAATAAAATTATAATTAGGCCTGTCGCAATAATCAATATATCGACTTATCGCGCAATATATGTACATGAGCTCAATAATATTTGGTGACGCCCATTATATTTACTTAAAAATGAATGTCACCATGTTTTGTACATTCCACTTGTGCCTGTGTCTTTTGCAGCTTCTCGTAATGACAATAATATCGCTTATCGCAATTATTTCTGGGGCAATATATCGCACAACAAAAAGTTGTTATCGTGACAGGCCTAATTATAATAAAATGTTATGAGCATTATATAAAATAATATATCATATATTATACTATATTAAGATTGATAAGATTAAGATATTGACTATTAACTAGTTGCTTATTAGAATGCATATTACTAGCATATTGGCTGTTTATTAGTACTTATAAAGCATATGTTAATGGCTTATTCTATGGCCATATTCGTGACCGTACCCAATACCTAAACATAACTACTTCAACAACTAACTACATTAATTACTATCAACAGACCTCAAATTAGGAGATTACTGAAGGAAAACACTTAGTTAAAAGTGAATACGTGTTTCCTAATCTAATGTGTTACCTTTATATAATATTATATATTTTACAACATAAAATAACAGCGGGATCTGTTCTGAAACATAACTTCTAAAAGGATAAAACCACGTTATTTACATGGTACTCCCAGGTACTTCATTATCATGGTGTATTTCCAAATACATGGTACTGAGATGCTAAATGTCCAAAAATCGCATCACCACAGTACTTTTGGTCATTTGTTTGGTATCAAATTAAATCTACTTACTTCAATGTTTAAAAAAAACACCACACTTCTTTTAATAACTAGTAAACGTTTTTAACGATTCAGAAAGTCGGTTGAGCTGGTAACCAGTGGAAGCTGCTCGGCTACCGGTCGCGGTGTGTCTGGGAGCTACATAACGGTAACACACACATCCGGTTAACGTTAGCGCTTTGGCTAAACCTCAAAACCACCTAAACTCCTCTCGGCCCACCGACTCGCGTCAATTACGTGAACTATACAACCACACGGTTAACGTACACACGGTGTTAATAAGAAACGGCCGACACCACAGCCGTTACAAGAGACAAAATGTCAACAAAACGCTTAGCGCGTGTCAGTGTGTGAGAGGCCAACTGTCCTCCTACCTCACAGAAACGCAGCGAGAATGTAAACATGTCCATAAACACACCGCTGTCTCACACGTCGGTCGTTACAGCTCTTCTGGCGGAACGAGAAAAACATGTCTTTTATCTCTCAGCTCCGCGTATCAGCTCAGTTCCCCGGGTGAAGAGAAAACAGAGTTCATGCCATAAGGGTTGAGGAGGAGGAGGGTCCTTCTGTGAGGCCTGAACAGCTATTGGCTTGAACACACACACACACACACACACACACACACACACACACCATACTCCACTACTACACACTCATGCATAGCTGAGTGAACACACAGTGGTGTGTTACTTGAGATAGGCTATGTGTTATACGTATTAAGCCCTATTCGCACGGGATTAGTATTATCTGGAGACCTTGTGTGATTTTGAAATTAGAACACACACACACACACACACACACACACACACACACACCATACTCCACTACTACACACTCATGCATAGCTGAGTGAACACACAGTGGTGTGTTACTTGAGATAGGCTATGTGTTATACGTATTAAGCCCTATTCGCACGGGATTAGTATTATCTGGAGACCTTGTGTGATTTTGAAATTAACCCCCCACCTCTGAATTACTACTACTGTAAAGATTACTAATGGTAAGAACAATAACAATAGATCTGTAACTAACAGACAATTATCAAAGTACAATGCCATTACGACGGTATTTTGGAGGACCATGACAATATGATAATCATGCACTATACCATAAATATATCACAGTGCTTCTTTATTGCACAATGAATCACTTTTCATTGTGTTTTATTGGGCTGTAACCCATACATCTTTAAAAGTCGTCTGTTCATCAGTCTTGGTTTTAATCTGTCTTGTGCTATGTTCACATGATGGTTACGAACATGACTTTTTTGGGTTCAGTGTTAAAAATCAAAATCCATCTACTTGTATAGACAGAGCTCTATATACTTTGTAGGTCAAAAGATGGTTAAAAAGATGCACAGATATTACTACCTAAATTAATACAAATGCCTTTTCAGCTTTTTCAGAGGGAAAATCCCTTATGATGTCAGTAAAGCCCAACTTCCAGAGAAGTTCATTCTCAGTGGAAGTGCACTGAGATCATTTAGTCTTGTTGCCTCATAATTGTTGACCGCAGTCTGTTCTAATCCAAGGACAGTTTAGAAAAAGTCTTATAATCCGCAGGATAATGGAAATGCACTTCACAATAACACAATGCTCTGTCTGTTCTCACATGTGAGCACAGGAAGCAAAATTAAACTAAACTATTTTGTTTGCATTATTCTTATTTTAAAATAAATTTGGAAAAAATACAATCTTCTAAATTAATAAGTTGAATGCAAATGCAATAAAATAAAATAAAATGCATGCAAATGCAATTTTAAAAGGAAACAGATTCTATCATTCTAAAAACTGAATTAACCTGTTTCCCATATCTAATCTCACATGCATAACAAAGAAGTTTTTGTTGCTTTGCTTCATGAGCTTTGGTGATAATTAAAGGTGCTGTATTTATTTATTGTGGCTCCACAAATTACAGAGGTCTTGACTAAAATAAAGACTGGTATGTGTCTCTTAGATAAATGCATGTTTGATATTAAGTGTTTCATAGAGATGTCCTGTTGACATATATTGTGAAAGGTGGTCTGAGCTCGTAGGCTGCTGTACTGTGCAATTCTCAGGAAACACATTTCACACACACACACTTTGATCTCTGAGCATTGACCTCATGCTGATTTAGGTCATAAGTTCATTATGTGAGTCAGATCTCTATGACCCTCTTTATTAATGAAAGATCACTTACCTTTCTGTTTCCTGTCACAGACGGATCAGCAAACTTTTGCGCTTCAGCATCATATCGAAACTTTCTTTCTAAAAAAATGAATAGACCTTTTGTTAACAATTGGTATGAAGAGGCTTTAAATAAGGGCATCACTTCACAAAGAGACAACAATACTTAAGACAGTTTTGGCAGGCTTCCCTTCGAAGTCCTTCCTGTTTCCCAAGAGTTATGGTTTCACAGTCATGAATAAACATTCATAACTTGATCTTACTTTTTAATGCATAATGATACCATGCAGTATCATTATGCATTAAATATGAACTATTTTACTACTTTTCATAGGGGAACTAATATTAGTGTAACAGAAGTAGTAGAATTTTTGAGTGAAAGGTCAAAACTTGGGGTATTTAACAACAGACAAACTCCATTCTGCAATATCCAATACCTCCTAACAATATGAAAAATACAAACACAAATACATTTTGATGCTTTGTGTTTATTCTCGACAAGGAGTGACACTTCACAAGGTTTCTTCAATGCAGGACTGAAAGTCTTTCAGTAGCGTGGTCACTTCTGGTCCATATCTGTTTTGAGGAGATCTAGAGCAGGAACGATTCCCTCTCACATCCCGACGCCTCTTTGATGAGGATTCTGGGATGGGAGACCGGGATTGACGGCTCATGGTTTGAACATGAAGATCTGGTTCCATTTTTAAAATGATTCACCTCCTGAATTAAAAAAGTTCATAAAATAGTTCTGAAGATGCAGAAGATGAACTACAAGAAGAAACAGGGTTTAAGGTCTTACTTGACGCAAAACAGTGTTTGCGGTCAAACTGTCAGGAGAAACATCTGACTGTCTGCAGGTTGGACAAAGGTGTCCGTCAGACTCCAGCAGACACGTTCTGATACCTGACACCAAAAGATTGTCAGAAACAGCCTGTTTGCTTCTAACTGATCTTTGCTTGATCAGACACTCACATTCATCACAGTAGCTGCTCCTGCAGCAGGGAATCATCACAGCATCGGTCAGCAGATCCTTACAGATCAGACACAGCAGCGCGGCAGGAACCGGATCGGATGAGGATGAGGATGGGGATGAAGGCTCATTCTGGGGTGAGAAGGGCGGCTTCTCTTTCTTCCCAATCGCATAGGCATCGCTAAACAGATCAAACACAACATGATTCAAACAAAAGACTTTAACAAACACTAGAACCTGCAGCAAGGGCAAGTACAGTAAACTCACGCATCCATAACGGGAATGACGTATTTCCCACTGCTGTCCATCATGACTCCCTTTCTGTCAGGATCATCCACTTCCACCAGGAAACTACGAGGAATCCCTGCGCATTTCCGTATGTGTTTATGAGGAGCACAACTTTTGTCCTGTGAATTCATGAATGACATTCAAACTCTGACAGACTTGACGGGGAAAAGAGCTCAAGTTCACAGCAGCTGTGATCTCTCAAAGCCCAGTTACCCAAGTGCTCGGGCAGTTTTTAATGTGATGTCCAGGAATCCTACAGCGGAAGCAGATGTAGTTTGGTGGAAGCAGTCCGACCAGCTTCATCGCATCACTGATGAACGTCAGAATCATGAGCATCTCTCATACAGTATATCACAGATTCAGTCACTCTCAATGTCTGAACACTCACCTGCTGGAATAATACTGGAGTTTTACCTCTGTGACGAGACACAAGGCTTATTTAGGACAATAGTGAGGTCAGTCACATAAGAGTTTGGAGACCAGAGACATGAACAAGACACGCAGAGACATAGATGAGACATGAACGAGACGCTCGTCTACAGAAACCCAATCAGAATGAAGGAATTAATAATAGTTTTATTGTGTAATGTTCCAGTAATCATACAGCAAATGCGGTTATTCATACAGAAAATGTAAAGTAAAATTGTATAATAGTGCATATAGAATGAAAATATTATTTAAAACCGTTCAGTGGAAGTGGGCTTACCTTCGACTCGCAACAAGCAAATGGCTTGTCCTGACAGTTTGATCAAAAACAGTGTAACATTATAAAACTTAGTAAACGTGGCTATCTGTGATATACTGGAGAAGCCATTCGACGATGTTAGAGTACAAAAATAACCATACGAATCGAATATTCGATGAAGAACCTTTCCAAATAACGTTAATAAACATGAAGACCAATGCAAACACTTTTCTACATACTGTTTGTGAAGATCCACATGATGGTTCAGGCCGATTACTGCAAAACCAAACAGCAAAGAGTTCAAACGACTAAAACACCAATTACACTTATGATTCTTCATATTACATCTAAATAATAACAGTTGTGTCCATGTCACGTGACTTACTTGACAAATCTTGTGTTTGTGGATTTGAGCCCAACAGCAGGGATTCGTCTGATGATGACTGATGTGTTGTTGGGAATGAGAGCTTCATCATCAGTGTATGCTAACAGCAAAAAAAAACACCAATAAAATCCGTCCATCCGTCCTCCAAACCGCTTGTTTTAGGGGATTTTTGCAAAGTAATGTGTTGTATTTTCCTGTAAACGTCGGTATACGTTTGCGCACAGCCCAAGAAAGACCAATTTATTTAACTATATTTCATAATTTTATCAGTCAATTAAATAAACAGTAGTAACCTATAAAAACATCAATTAAACAGTCTCCTAATCACTTTTGTTTATTTTTAATGATACATTATCCCTTTAATGTACTATCATAAAGTGTGATTTTTTTCTTCAGAATTGCATGCAAAATAATATTTTCACTTGATCGGAAGTTTCTAATATTGGTTTTAATAAAAAAAAATGTGAGGGTTGTGTTCAAACAATTTTGAATTACTACATAATATTGCTGACTTTTTGCTTTGCTCTAAAACATTAGGCACTTGCTTTTTAACCATATATTTAATATATGATTAAATATATGGTTAAAAAAGCAAGTGCCTGATTTTTTAAAATGTTTTTATTATTATGATTATTATTTTTGATTTGTTCAGAATTATTTTTAAATCATTTGTGCAACATTACCCTTTAATTTTTTACTTTATTACAAATACATTCATTATTATTATTATTAAGAATACTGTAAAAAAAAAATCTACATTTTCCATTGTGCTGGCTTTGGTATGCTGGTGGTAACCACAACACTGCTCTGTGGTCTTATTATCCAGAAGATGAAAATATTATTGAAACATTAACAGTGAAATAAAATGCAATACATTTAAATCAGTAAATCTAGTTACTTGCTGTTTAATGCAGTAAATGTTGAATATGAATGAAAAAAGACACCCCAGTATAAGAAACACATCAGCTCACATCTTTTACTGATGCACATTAATGATTTTTACAAAATACATGTATGGAAGTCCTAGAGCCTCTGCATTCAGAAGTGCAGTGAGAACGAGGCTCAAGTTTGAAAGCAACATGAGAGGCAGAAGAAACGTGCCGAAAGCTCCAGATTTCTTAAATTAACTACATACAACTCTATCTCACAGTATATGAACATTAAACATGTATTATAAAACAAAGCACTAAAATAGGCTTCTTGATACAAAAAAATCTTTTATAATTTTCTTTTTTTTTTTTATCGTGAAGATCAGCCCTATCTATCTATTGAACAACTGAAGGACTGCAACAACCTTACTTTCTTCAAATGCTGTCGACTAGACAGAAAGCTGTCCAAACAACGGCCTCCTCAGCTTTCAGAAGTGCATTTCGGTCTCTAGAGCTTGGCTACTGCAAGGACAAAGATGACAGATCATAAAAGTACAGCTGAGAAGTGCAAAAATAGCTTATTAAATCCGTGGGGCTTCTGATAAAATGTCGACAGCAGTACGAAGCTACATTAATAGAAACGTCTGAATGAAAGTGTATTGAACCAGAGTGCAAGGCAGGGCTTGAACAGCTTTGAAAGTGAGATCCTTGGCATTTCAGTATCTACACGATCCTCTTTCCAAAAACAGAACACACCTATCGGTGTCGAACTTCGACACCACTGGAACTCATATTGCAAAATTGACTTTTGCAAAGCACCAGTAATAAATAGGCTTGTAAAAAAATGACTCAAAGACACGCTGAATTCATTATGTTCCAAATGATGTACAATAATCAGGATCTCGACTGCGCAATTTACGACAGTGTAGATCTTTAAAAAAAAAGGAGATCCGCATCCATAAAATGGCAATGGCACCTCCGTTCGGTAAAATATGGGTAGAAACAGCACCATCAATTAAAGTCAAATAAATTAATGCAATTTGATAAAAGTAGATATATTTTATGAAATGGAGATTACAAATATTCTGTATCAAACGAATGTAATTTAGAGCGACTCCATGAACCTGATGTTCACGCTGATGTGCTTCTAGAGTGTTTGTGGCACAGTTTCACAGCGCTGAGGTTAAAAGGGCGTGACACCCAATGACAAAGCTGCATTCTCTGAGAAATACACTGTGAAACACCCTGCCTCGACTCTAGACCCATATATCAGAATAGATGGTCGACTGAGGGCTAGTAATAGTCCACTGAGGAGCGATCAAACCCATCCAGGTGTTCCAGGTGTCCGACCCCTGCGAACTGAACGCTACTGACATTGGCAGGGTGTGCTGGAGACGCTGGATGAGTGTTGGTGGTTTCGGGTGAAGGCTGGGTCATCGCTGGCTACTCCACGATGGCTCGGTAGATGACGGGTTCGATGTAGTCGCCTCTGTACCTGGAGTTGATCACTCTCTGTCTCTTGCTCTCCTGGACCTTCTTCTCTCCAAACATGCCATCAAAACGCATGTCTGATGCCTTAGACTGAATCACACACATGCAAAAATCAGTGCATTAGTGCCCACCCACTTTCTCCAGAGCCATTTTTTCCCCTTTCATATTTACCATAGGGATTTTAAATATAAACCACGAACCCAACCAATCAGCAACATTAAACTTTTGAAGCAAAAAGTATTTGAAATACTAAAAAAAAATAAAAAGTAGAAAACTGTGTGCTTAACGGCTTTAATGAGGGAAAGAACTACAATCCCATGAAGCAATGCAAGTGAAATTATCAAAGTAAAAATGAAGAAGAAATGTAAAACTATTCATTTAAAATGGTTGACTAACTATAGAAATGATATATTTTAAGTTTATACAAAATATACTGTATATGCATACAAATAGTTAAGTATTTTATTTGGTCACTGTGACTGATTGGTGGAATTTTCTGTACAGAATCATGGGTAATGTAGTTTTTCACCATAAATTCAACTGTTAACCATGATTATTTTAATAATAAGTTGCAATAATGTGGACTGATGGCCTCACCAAAAGCATATACCATCGAGAAACAACCACATAGCTCACAGTAAGAATGTGATAGTTAATACAAGTTATCTTTAAAAATAATTTCCCCCATGGAGAAAATGAATGATTTTTTACTTCTGGACCACTCTATATGTACAAAATATTGAATTATTAATTGTACTTGACAAGCTCAACAACTGCAGAGAGCTGTTGTCACATCAAATTTTTTTTTTGTTTGTATTTTTACTTGCAATGTCCCTAACATATGAGCTCACCAGACGAGATTTGACTCTCTTGGGCAGCTCTTCATCTAGGGTGTAGACGTCATCTCTCTTAGCAGTCAGCTGCGATCCGTCCTCGAACTCCACCTGAAGAGAAGCAGTGGTTTACTAAACAGCTAAACGCAGACTGAACCTCTGGAACTCTTCTCTTAGACATTTACCTGGTACATCTGAATGACATGAGCTGCCACGAATTTGGCTCCATAGACAAGACCATCTGTCCATCTGACCTGAACCACTTCCCCCTGCGGTGGAGGACCCAGCTGAGCGCAGTCTCGGTTCTACACCAAACCATGCAAAATACAATATTTATAAAATACAGCTTTTTAAATATACAGTATTTTGGAGCCAATCATACACTACCCTTCAAAAGTTTTGGGTCAGTTAGTGCTTTTGTGAAAGAAATTAATACTTTAATTAATCAGGGAGGCATTAAATTGCTCAAAAGTGACAGTAAATTCATTTATAATGTTACAAAAGATTTTTGTTTCAAGTAAATGGTGTTCTTTTGAACTTTCTATTCATCAAAGAATACTGAAAAACTATGTCATGGTTTCCACAAAAATATGAAGCCTAGCAACTTTCCCAAAATGCCCTGTTACTTCTAGGTTTTCCATGCCATTGATAATTAGATAATCTACTTCCTAATTTCCTAAACTGCTGTAGAGAATAGATCAGATCTCACATCTTACCACAATGTCCTCTGGGAAAAGGTTATCACTGAAGGAGCCATCGTCAAAGTTGACCTCATAAAATGTCTCTTTTGTCAGCTGTATGACTTCACACTGGTAGTAGCGTCCATTTTTGTTCTTGCAGATGACCTTCTGACCCACGCTGAGCTCTCTCATGCCTGCTTTATTACGCTGCAGAGGAGAAAGAGAGAGATCACTCATCAAAGCAGCAACAAATATGATGGCAGTTCACAAAAGGGATGCACAATAATTGTTAAACAGTCATGATTATTTTGCACAAAAAATATAATTATTATTCATGGTCATTTTTACATTTCATCAGATTGAGTGCACTTTCACATAAGCACAAATCAAGAG